AAAATGAAGAAATAAAGAAATTAGAGCTAGCACTTTGCATCTTAGAGCAAAAAAAAAAGTTGCTAAAATAATATATTTGTTCTCACATGAAGTTTATATTTTGTAAACAAAACACATTAGTTTTTTCAAAACATATATAAAATTTTATTTTTTTAATATATTTATTTTAGTTATCAGATTAATATGGCTTTGCTTCTTGTTAAAAACACCTTTAACAGATTGCTATAAATTAATTAAAGACAGTCTCTGCTTTCTTAAAAAATAGTGATAAAAAGTATTTAGGGAATAAGGATTCAGTTGGAAAAGTATTATATTTTTCAACATTGATTGGCAAAACATTTAGACTTTTGACCGCATGAACTCAGGGAAAAAATACTTGAAAATCAGGGAAAACTCAGGGAAAATGGTTTTTCAAAACTGCCATAAACCCTGTATTGGTTTTCATTAAAAAAGCAAAAGCAAGACATGTGAGTAGGTAGGCAGATACAGATCATAAGTAAAAAAAAACACCAAAAAGCTAACCATAAAAAAACAATAAATTGTAATTTACATAAAAACCTTGTTCAAAAGATAACAATAGGTGCATTTCCTAAAATTTCATAATTTTACACTAGATATATGCTTAGGGGCCATATAAAGTACCTATGCAGGTATGGGGGAGGGAGGTTCCTAAAAGCGCATATATTTTTTTTAATATTTAATTTCACGTGTGTAACAAATCAGTTTGTGTTTTTTTTTTTTTATTGACTTCAGTCAACTTTTTTTTTTAAATATCTTTATAAATAATGAGGAGAGAAAAAAAAATTTGAGCAACAATCATTTCAAATAATATTTTTTATTTTTCGCAATGTAATTTGATTGGTAGCAAGATGAGAAGCAAAAAGACGTCAAATAAAAGCAAACTTTTTTTGAATTCTTTTTTTTTACTTACTGTACGCTAACTTGCTTTTTATCTTTTCTCTTAAAATGTTAAAACATGTTGTAACATTTCAAGATTTAAATAAGTACTTACCCTGCTTACATACGCTTTATTTAAAAAAAAAATGCATATGTATGCAGGGAGGGGTCTTCGAAAGTGTACAGGTCACAACGCTCTATAAATAATAGTCAATGACACGCAAAACTTAGACAAAAATGTGGGGGCTGATATTTCAAAAATAAGTATGATATTTGTTTTTAAACAAAATATGTTTCTCTCGTTATAAAAAGCATTAAACAATGTAAAAATTTGAACAATTTATAAATCTTTTTAAGTTTTTAATAATAAACATTATTTTATTGTTTCAATTCATAAATATGCTAAAATAATGAAATAAAAAAGTTTTATATTAGACAAAAAATGAAAGTTAAATAAAATATTATTAGGGTAACTACACCTTTAAACAGAAATATATTTTAGTGGTTTAAAGAAATAAGGAATACTTTTAAAATCATAAAACAAAAACTTTAAATCAATTGATAAATGTCGGCAATAAAATAACAACATAAATTTCATTGAATTACTGTCAACTTAACAAGACAACTTTAATATTTTCAGAGACGGTTCTTTGTTTGATTTTAGTGTAGAAAGTTTGCAGTGGTTTTTGATAAAAATATTTGACAGTATAATACCATGATGTCGTTCCATGTCGAAAGAGTAATGCTCCGATATAAGCATAAAATTGTTGCACATCGATGTTTAACAAACTTTATCTTTAATGGAGTTAAAGAGTACAAATGAGAAGAAAACCCATTGAACAGTATTATCAAAAGGAACTTTTAACCCACCTCTATCGACTGATTTTAGATATTGACCAAACTTTTCAAAATTAAACATTGTCCTGGTTAAAAGTTCGCTTTGACACATATCTTGCAATATAAACTAGAGTCATCTTTGATTAAAAAGTTATACTTTTTTCTAGTGTTGGTAAATTATCAAAGACCTTAGCTAAAGATTCATCAAGTAAAAATCCACAAAATTGGCAAGAATGTCCTGCATCAGGAGTTAACTCATTAATGTTATATGATAATAAAAGTGAAGTTTTAGAAATATTGAACTTTTCAATTATTTATTTGGACACTTAAAAAATATGTGCTACCAGATCCTTGTATTAAGTTGCTGAATTCTTTTTCAAGTGAGTCTGTAGTAAATTTTTCTAATATAACATATTTGTGTGTTTCTTTTTATAGTGTTTTTGTCAGCTCAACATTTCCTTTACATGTATGATTTATTGAATGTCCTGTTTATGCCTTGATTGTTTTATACGCTTCCCTTGATTCCTTGTCATACTCAATGCCATTTCTCCAAAATCCCAAATAAATGTTAATCGATTATCAGTTAAATCTCTGATGACAGCTTGTCAATCATCATTAAGCCTACAATTCATACTTTTTACATTTAAAATGTAACAACCATTTTAATGAAATCAGCAGTCTCATTTATGTTTTAGATGGCACAGGTTTTAGGATGATTAAGTGGAGCATTATATTATTTTTCAGAAAACACTTGTAGACAGGTAGAAACAGATTGTCTTTTAATATGACTCAGTCAAACAAAAACTTCATTTAAATGAGATAGTTTCTTTAGACAATTAGATTTAGCTTCAAAAAATTTTATTAAATAACTCCAACAAGCGGTTTTCTCAACACCATTTTCATAAAAAATTAGTTCTCCATTTTTTACTGTGTGCCAATTGTTTTGAATGTTTTTGATTGTCAAGCAACAAAAAAGTTCCTTTTATGGTTAACCAAGGTTTTTTAGGAAATGCGTCAAATTTAAAAAAAAATGCTCGATTTCTATCACATATAATTACTTTTGCGTTGCCATTAGGCTCTCTAACTGCATCTACAGTCAAATGAATCTGATCACATAAAAATTGAAAATTTAATTTGTTTACAGGTAACATTTTCACAAGAAATTTAGGTCCACTGAACATACAAGTTATCATGACACTTAAAACAGTTTTTACAAGAGAATCTGGGTTATCTAATGCTTTTCCAAAAAGAGCACCTCCATGATAAAATAACATTTTTTTAACATAAACCTCATCGTGGAGAATAATGCAATTTTTTTTATCATCACTTAAATTATCAAAAACTTCTTTAAAAAAAAAATTATCATCAGATTTTGATACTTTTGAAGTAATGTGTGTCAATGTTCGATTAGAAAGTAGTTTAAAATTATTATGCAATTTTTTATAAAGTGTACAAGAGGTGGCAAAATACTCAAATGCTGATACTCAAATGATGATTACACTAAGACTATACTTATTTGTGTTCATGGAATCAATTTGCTCATTCATTACTATTTCTTTACTGTTTGGTGTCAAAAAGATATTGCAAGATTTCTTCAAATTTAGACCATGTATCTGTGGATTGTACACAAAGTTTACTATCTGAAATGAAGGCAACAATTTCAACAAAAAAATTGTGTTTTTTATTTAACAATGTGTCACAAAAAAAGTCAGCTAAAATTATCTTGTGCTAAAAATAAATCGATTTCGTCAAAAAAAGTCAGCTAAAATTATCTTGTGCTAAAAATAAATCGATTTTGTCAAAAGAATTTCGGCTAGCGGATAATGCGCGTTTAGTTGATCTTAAAGAGGGTATATATGTTGGTATCTTACTTAAAGGAACATTGGGCCAAATTGATGGTGGATTTTTTGGTCTTTCTCTTCCTTTTACTTTAACTTTTTCAAAATTTTTGGGCTAGTGTAGTTCACAGGCTACAGTGTTGCTTGTCACTTTTAAATTTGCATTAGGAATGCATTTTATCCAACATTTTTTCTCTTCTTCGTCTCTTGGAAATCTATAAACTGACATTTTAGATTTGTTTGATTTTTTTTTTGCGATAAGTAATTTGTAGAATAGCCATAAACATTTCTTGACCATTTTTTTAACAGTGTAAGTAAAGTAGAAACATAAAAGAATCAAACAGAATTTTTAATTGTTCTATAGTAATCACTGTAGTTAACATTGGCCCCCATAATTTTTTTTCTTAATTTTGTGTATCACCACCTGTTACTTGAAGAACGCCATGGTACAGGTTCGTACAAGTGGGGTCCTAAATCAGTGGTTTTACTGTGTGCGTACTTTATGGATGACCCCTTATATTGCATGTAAAAAAATATTGTTGGGCAGTGTTACTTAAGCACATAACATATCTAAGCACATAACGGACAGTGTTACCTAAGCACATATCTCTATCATAACATATGCACAATATTTTTCTCCCGGTGTTTCAATTTTTTTTTTTTTTTAATTTAAGCTTATTTAAAATTCTACCCCTTTCCTTTGTTATAGTATATATCTTTATATATATTATAAAATATCTATAGAACTTCAATTTCATCAATTTTTAGAATTTAGGATCCAGAAATTGTTTTTCAAACTTGTCTGCTGTACTAACGTGCTAATAAGATTTAATTTTTCTTGCATGTTTAACGTTATGTAGTATGGTTTTTGGCGTAAAAGTTTAATTGAAAAAAAGTATTTAAAGAAGATATCTACATTAAAATTTAAGATTTATTTTGTAATTTAACGAATAAAACATGTAATATAAAGATTAAAGAAAAATAATTTTTAAAATCAAAAATACTTTAATTTTTTTATTTAAATAATTTTTAATAATTTTAAAATTTTAAAAAAATAAAATTTGTAAGCGCGAGAATTTGAACTACAGCAATGCATTTCAGAAATGTCTTGAGCTAACCACTTCGGCAACTAAAGCGTATTGTTTGAAAAATTTTTGACACTATTTAATAAAAAAAAGATTTTATAAAAATTATCTCCCTTTAGTTTGTTGTAGTATATAATATCTTTATATACATTATTTAAATAATATCTAAAAGTCTTTTAAAAAAAGATTTAAAAAAAAAAGTGCTAGTAGGAGGATTTGAACCACGCGGATTCTGCGATTTTTTTCTGCAAGCGTTTCTCAAGTGCATTGGTAATAGATATTAGGTTAGATTGTTAAAAAAGTTGTTTTATTGTTGGGTTTTATAATCTAAAATTTTATTTAGATTGAAATTTGCTTGGATTCGGAAAAAATATTGCCGCAAAAACTGAGAATGCAGTTTGTTAAATTTAAGTCACAGACATTTTACCCAAACAAAGATGGTTTGCCATTAAATATTTCATCTGAAGTTTACCAATCAATACAGGACATTTTGAAAGAAAGAAAGGTAATGTAACTTTTTCTCTACATGCCTGACAACACGGGTTTCAAAGTTAAGGGGCACAATCGTCAACTTTAAAAAAAAGTCTTTTATATCTAGAATTTTTTTTTTAAAAGTCTTTAGAAAAAATGTGGGAGGCACCTTTCTCTCAACCCCTCCCCTTCGTGTTGTCTGCTCTGCTCTATTTACACACACACACGCACACATTTTTAAAAAAAGTTAATGTTAAATGCTTATATAAATATGCTTTAGTAGATATATGTATATATATATATATATATATATATATATATATATATTCCAGTTTAGGATGTTGAACGCTGGATCTTCTTGACTCGATGCATGGGTTTTGCTTGTGTCTCTGTTTTTATGACTAGGCAACTCATTCTATTATCTCCAAATGAGGGTACAGCTCTAAAACTCAGTTTTATCGTTCTGAGGCCGGCTGGTAGTCAGGTTTTCTTGAACTCTGTGGTAGCTCTCAGAGAGGCTGATTCCATCAACAGCTGAAAAATATCAAAGTACTAACAGTGCCATGTTGCGCATGGATGGTGTCCCTGTTTGTACTTGGTGTACATTGCCAAGGCCACATTAGAGCCCTTTGTTACGGCTTAGGGTTTATTAATAGAAATGAGGCAATTGCTAGGGCTATAAAACAGTGTACTGAGTATTATCTATGTTTCTTTAACAAATTTAAAAATGAATAAAGTAACAAAAACTATATAACACAAAAAACCACAGTCATCACCAAGTTCGCTAAACCTATCATTCACCAATATTTGTGGTCTTCAAAGTAACTTTTCTTCTGTTGAGTCTTATCTCTTGCAAAGTTCACCAGACCTACTTGCTCTTTGTGAGACTAATTTGAGTTCAGCTGTCTCATCTTGTGATCTTAGTGTTGATGGTTATCTTCCTTTAATTCGTAAAGACTCCAATACTCACATGCTTGGCCTGGGCATTTACATTCGTAAGAATTCACCCATTTGTCAGGAAACTAGGTTTGAACCCACAGACTACTCTTTTATGTGCTTTCGTTTAGCATCACTTCACTCTATCACCTTTCTCTTTGTTCTATATCGCTCTCTCTCATCTCAAGACTGCACTCTTCTTGATGTTATTTCTGATCATATTGACTAAACCCTCTCTCTTTATCCATCAGCCAATATTGTTGTTGTCGGTGACTTCAATGTTCATCACACTGAATGGCTTGGCTCTAGTGTCAGTGACTCTGCATGCATTAAGGCCCACAACTTTTGCCTTTCTCAATCTCTAACTCAAATAGTCAACTTTCCAACTCTCTTTCCAGATAACCCAAATCATTTACTTCTCTACTCGACTTAAGTCTTGTTTCTGATCCTAGTCAGTGCTCAGTTTCTCCACACTCACCCTTAGGTGCCTCCGATCATGGTTTGGTCTCTCTAAAACTATTATCTCATTCTTCTTTATCATCAGAATCCCCCTATCATTGTACATCTTACAACTACCTTAAAGCAGACTGGGACTCTTTCCGTAATTTTCTTCGTGATGGCCCCTGGGTAGAAATCTTTCGTCTTCCTTTTGACAAATGTGCTTCTAACATAACTTCGTGGATTCAGGCTGTCATGGAATCCTTTATTCCCTCTTGACAATTCCAGGTTAAGCCTCACTCTTCTCCATGGTTTTCCTCGCATTGTGCTGCTGCAATTGCCAATCGAAACAATTACTTCCATATCTATCAGCAAAGCAATTCTCCAGAAAACAGGCGTCTGTTTATTACTGCTAGGAACCATTGTAAAAAGGTTTTGTTTATTGCCAAAGCCTGCTATTCTCAGATCATGAAATCTCGTATTTCATCACAAAAATTAGGCTCTTGTAACTTCTGGAGAATCTTTAATAGTATCAATAATAAGGGCAAGTCTGTAATTCCACCTCTTTTGTATGGTTCAGAGTTTGTCACCTCACCTAAAGACAAAGCTGAATTGTTTGCTAAGAACTTTTTATCAATATCATCTCTTGACTCCACTAGTTGCGTTCTACCTGATATAGCCGTCAAACAGGTTGATCCATTGCTTGACATCCATATCACTCCAGCTTCTGTATCTAAAGTGATTTCCTGCTTAAACTTTTCTACAGCTTGCGGCCCGGACAATATTCCTGTTATAGTCTTGCAGAAGTGTTCTCCGGAGCTGTCGTCTATACTTTCAAAACTCTTTAACAAGTGCTTATCAGAGTCTTGTTTACCAGCCTGCTGGAAAGCAGCATCTGTTATCCCTATTTTCAAAAATTCTGGAGAGCGATTCGATTCATTTAACTACCGTCCCATTAGTCTTCTTCCTATCATAAGCAAGGTTTTTGAATCTTTAATTAAAAAACACTTAATTTCTTATCTCGAATCTCATAACCTACTTTCTGATCATCAATATGGATTTCGATCTACTCGTTCTACGGCTGATTTGCTAACAGTAATAGCCGATAGGTTTTATTGTGTATTAGATAAGAGTGGAGAGGTTAAGGCCATTGCTCTTAA